ATTGCCACAATATAATTGTAAATCGCCGCACATTTTTTGAAGCGAGGCAATAACCAATAAAAATAAAACAGTATAACAAATTTGTAAGCAAATAAAATATATAATGAAGTACAAGTTTAGCCGCTTTGATAAAAAAACAAATCGAAGCGCTTCAAGCATTTTAATCGCCAAAAGCGATTTATACAATTCTCCAGCTGATACCCTCCCAAATCACCGGCCACTTGCTCTTTGCCATCTGCCGGCCCTGTACTATTCGACATCAGTTCTCAGACCTAACTACATACATAAGTACAATCGCCACCTGCGCGTTGATGTTTTTGTTTCTTGCAAACAATCGTCCAAATTGGCTGGCTGACAGTAGTGCCATCGTTGCACTCAGTGCGGTGGCATACTTTGGTTTTGATGGTCAGCCAGTTTTGCTCTACTTTAAGGTAATTTATGATATACTTACATACATACATAAACGTATACAGTTTTTATTGCATACGAATATATTATAAAATTGTACATAAATACATATGTATATTTACATATACATATATGTTCATATGTATGAATACATACATATATGAGGAATATTACGCCGATGATGGTGATGATTCTTTTCTCAAGGTGAAATTAATAAATTTGTTCGGCAATCAGTACATTAGAAAGGTAGTTGTACCTACTACATGTGTATAAATATATTTGTATGCACTTTGTTAGCAGATTATTCCTCTCACAAAATCATTGTAGAAGCCTCAACGCAAGTGTTTAAAGCAAATATTATTGATCTTGCGTTTGTAGCTGTGCTAAAAAAGGAAAAATTCGTGATTAAGAGATAACACTTTTCTTCATAAAATAAATCTCTGCTTACCATTACCTAGTTCTTTGGCGTTAGTGAAGCTTTTTTTCTCATTGTGTAAAGCAGGATCATGTGTGGACCACGATGTATCATTCTTGGTGTGGACTGTGAAAGCCATACATAAAATTCAGAGGATTTGGTTTCCCCCTACAATGGAGGACAAATTTCTGTTATTTCTTGGTCTCCGCTCATGCCCTTTTGATTTGGCCATAGAATATGTCCGTTTACTTGAGTAAACATTTGTCGCGCAATTTTGCGAATCGTTTTGGGGTGTTGCCCGTTTCGTTCACAATTGTAATAAAAAAATCGGCTAAAAATCAACCTGTCTATCTCGACCACCTGTAAAAGTTAGGCTTACTTCGCCAACGACGGTGTCCAGCCCCGCGACATAGATATGGAGGAGTAATTATCAAGATCTTCATCACCAGCCTTCAGTGAGGATAAAAATGAACAGCCAAGATAGACCTTGCTGTTCTCTGCATAGCCTCTAGCTTTTTGAAAGCGTATAAAAAATTAAGAACTTTCTTGATTATTTTCTCCATTTTTAATCTCCATGTCAGTTTATAGTCCATAATAATTCCAAGATATTTCGTTGATGTCTTCGTGGTAAGTGTAGCATATGCTAGTTCGAGAGGTGACCAGAACGAAAATGCCAATCCCGCCTTGTCTGGGTTCACTGTGACGTTAGCTTCTTTGAATCGGTTTGACTGTACTAAATGTATACATTTAACTCACCCATTTCACATTAAACAGATAACGACAGCCGAATTATCTGCGAGGAACATTGAAGCTTATGTGTTCAAGGAGATCAGGACATTTAAAGAGGCCACAAACTATGTTGGAGACAAATATTTAGCATTGTATGACACGTCTAGAAGCAACTAATTTCAAATTTATTAGCATAAAACAGGACAGACTCATTCAAAGTAAGAGGATGACTTTTCAAAAACTGATTTCAGCCACTCAAAGAACCTTTGGAATTTCATATAAATCTGATGATTTTTTAAAAAATCCATCCGCCATATTGTATCCGACATTTTGAATGGGTAAAAAAACGTATCGGACGGTGTAGTACATAGATATGTATAACAAGTAAAGAAGTACAAGTTCGGGCGAAACCGAAATTTATATACCCGGCGCAGGTATCAAATATAGTCGTTCCAACTTTCTCTGAACTACCTTTGTATGATAAGTAGGGGTATTTAATCGATTTCAAACGTTTTCGATAATATGCAGAGTTAGACTTAATGATATAATTGAACCTATTTAGGTACAAATCGATGAAGTGGTTAACGAGGTACACCTTTGTAGTTGCAAAGTGGGCGGTTCTGCGCCCAATTCCTAAAAGTCTATATCAGTTATTTATTGTTAGGAGATTGCTGTAACTATTAGCCTGGAGTAATCCTCAGTTATTGAAATATCGGGGTTTTAGTATTTCCGAAATTTACCGTTTTACGGAAAGCGGGTGCAATTTTAGTCCGATTTGAATAATTTTCAACAAATTGCTTTGCCGTACCAAGGTTATTAAGTGCACCTAGTCTGGTAGATATTGATAAATCGGTTACCGAGATACACATTTGTGGTCATAAGTGGGCGGCGCGACGCCCATTATCCAAAAATTTATAATATTCTAATTTTATGCTAAGTGGTTATCATCATCTAAGTGATTGATGATTTAAGTGAATTAGCTCCAGTAGTTACTGATTTATCGCAGTTTTCGTGTTTCTGTAAATTACCTTTATATGGCAAGTGGGCGTGGTTATTGCCCGATTTCAAAGTTTTCAACAGATTTTTTAGCTAGACTCTATTAATGCCTCGTACCGACTTTTGTAAGGATCGGTTAATATACCGTTATACGGCAAGCGGGTCCGATTTTTGCCCATCTTCAATACCAACCTATCTTGGATAAAGGACAACCTACATACCAGATTTCTTTGCGATGTCTCAATTTTTGTTCGAGTTATCGTGTACACGGACAGACGGACGGACGGACAGACATACATGGCTTAATCGACTTCTCTATTAATTCTGAGCATTTATTTATACATTTGTCTATGTCTATCTCGATTCGTTTTGGCTACAAACAACCGTTATGCGATCAAAGTTAATATACCCTTGTGCACAAGTGCGCTCGGGTATAAAAAGAAACCAGCAGATGGATCCGCGTCTTATATTCATAGAAACCAAAGTTTAAGAATAGAGTTTTTATGAAAAAATGTATGTATATTTTTTTCAATGGCCCATGGGTATTTGCATGGGTTCATAAATTCGTACATACTCGTACATACGTGTATGTGCGATCGCTTCAGCAGTATCTGCCAAAAATTGGACATTAAATTCACTTGTTCGTCAGGCACTTAGGATGCTTAAGGCAAAAACACAACATTAATTTGAATGAAAAATGTGCTAAAAAATTCAATGAAACTTAATTTGCTCTTTGAGCTATGCACCCGCAAATGTGCATACAAATACACGCATGTTCCTAAAATCCGCAAAGATCTCAGACATCCAAACATGGTGACTGGCGCTTGGTATGTATACAAAATACAATCGCTCTTACTCGCCGTAAACAGTTAATGATTTCTTGAGCATGTACCGTTTTTGACGTTGTCGGTTTTGTCACGGTTATTTGCAACAATTAAAAATGGTTGAAAAAAGGTGTGACTAGGTCGGTCTAATTTGGGTGGTGCATGTGTTTTTAATTAGCTATTGTAAATGATGATTTGCCTAATTTGGTGCGTCGTGTCGCCGATAAAACTAAATTGTGTTTTAAATGGAATATTTAAGTATGCATGTACATACATAAGTATGTATTAAATATGTGCATGTCGTAAGAGTGAAGTCTTTAAGTGGCTATATGACATACATTCACACACCTACATACCTATGCGTTAATTACATAATTTTATAGTAGATAAATCATAATTTTTTTTTGTTTTGCTACCTGTCTTATTGGAATTCTCTTGCAGTGTGTTAAATTAGAGCGCTTCGATTGGTGTACATTAGGGATGTTAATTTTTTCGCTTTTTACGATCCCGGCGTTTTCGGGATGTCGTTATCACAATTCTGGGATCCCGGGATTAGAACCGGGATTAATTTATTCATTACTTTTCAACAACTTAAATCGAAAAAATTGCTTCTATCCCTCCTACCATAAAATAAATAATAAATAAATGGGTTTGAAACCTACTTTTTTATTTAAAGTAGCGTTTTTATTTTTTCTGATTAATTCCAAAAATTACTTCAAAAATTCAATGCAATGTAGAATAATAATATGGGTACCAAATAATATATCAAATTTCTTTATAATTAAAAAAAAAATTAACACTTTTTGCATTCACAACGACGAATAGGCAATTTTTTAAGCCGATAAAGTCAGAAGGACGAAATTCCAGGATGTTATCGAGTTTATATAAGTCCTTAAAATATAATTTTTTCAAAAAAAAATATTGCGAAATTTCAAGGATAAAATTTTAAAAGCACATTTTCGATACTTACCTTGTGCACCGAAAATTGCATCTGATTAAATTCTAAACAATTTCGTCTTTAATTTGATACCCATACTTCTTCTCAAAGAACATTTCAAATCCCGGGATTATTTTTTGCCAAGAATCCCGGGAATCTCGGGACATAAAAAAGGCCGGGGTGCCGGGATTAACATCCCTAGTGTACAAAGTATATTTACTGTTTTCATATCTTGCTATTTTAAAGAGCAGTAATCAGAAGAAGATATTCCTTATGCAACTAATAAATCAATCTTGCAGTCAGTAAACTATTAATCAGTAATAGGCAAAACAAACATTTCCTGCCACACTTTTCTACATATGAACAATGTGTGCGACAACTGTGGTTGACGTAATTTGATGCTGTCGTTTTTGGTTATATAACATACACACATACATACATAAATGTACACAAAAGTACTATTTTTCGCACTGTAACTTGCTATCTTGGCTCTGTAATCACCTGTCACCGTCGTTCGCCTTTGAGGTTTAGTGATGTCAGTGGTATTGAAAATCATTTAAAATGAATATAAAAATGTACGTGTATATGTACATATGTATGTATGTTGATTCATGCACTTACTTGTGATTATTCTAAAAAAAAAAATTGCGAAGTGATTGTGTCATCTTATTTATGTAAATGTGTATGGTAGATTGTTTCTGTATTGAAGGTTTCCTGCCGAAGGCCCCAATCATCTGTGTAAATAAGTGAACGTAACGAATTTTTAAAAGCGCTGAGTCTACACATATTAATGTATATACTACAAGTATATAAATAACAAAAATATTCATTGCGCTTAAAATTACTCCTTAGGACTTAAAAATCACACCTGAAACCACTACGCTGCCTTTATTCGTAACCGGAGTTCGAATTACACTGTGAATTTAAAAGCACCGACTGCATTTACATTAATAATGGTAAGTAACTACTCTAGTTTACATATTCACCCCATTCGTACTTCTATAATTTTAAGCAGTAAATAATATTTCTTTTTATAATAAAAATTATATTAAAAAAATGATCAGCAATTTCAAATTGCAAACTAGCGCGACTAAGTGCAACCGAAACTAATTTTTATTTGTATGACATTATCAATACTCAACCACAAGCTCTGCCAAACATTTTAATCTATCTAAGGTGGCTTTAAAATATCACCTTTTGGGGTCTGTTTAAAAAATGCATACACATCCATAGATCCAGTAGTCTCATGCCAGCAATATACATACATACGTACCTAATGTGAAGCCTATGGCTATATCTGTTCAGTGGACGACTTTCGGTAAAGCCTGCACATCCGCTATTTTAAGGTTGACGGCAGAGTGTTTGTTAGAAGCGATACTATTTATGATATATTTTTTTTTGTGTTTCGCATATATTTTGTACCAAACACTCTGCCGCCAACCTAAGGCCTCAAGAGTAAGCTTTAGAGAAAGTTATCGATATACCGTACTAGATTCTCATATCGTTCTATCATTAGTTATACCTTGTCAATCTTTGGATAAGGACAACCCGGTTTCGGCGTAGTGCAATTTTCAGATGCATTTTTCAATCGCAGCTACGCAGTGGCCGATTGACATCGCCAAGACGGTTGATAACACGACTACCTAACTTGGCGCGGTCAAAAGGTCACTGCGCCATTGTGCTGAAACAAAGATTCTTTAATTTCCGGACGCGAAAAGATCGTTTACCATGCCTTTGTATCGCTCACCGTTAACCGAAATGGCAGCAATGAGAAAGAAAATGAAAGAAAAAATGGGCCAATGATGCCACCGCTCCAAAATCCCCACCAAGCTGCCACCAGTGATCGGACTTCTACCACATTGTGGTAGATCTGCAACTTTTTGAGCATCTACCACAGCTACCACTCAAGGTGAGGAATCTACCACATATTCGCGTTTTTGAGTAGTTTTATTTTTGCTCAACATAATTTTCTAAATTTTAAGAGCAAAAATTGTCCAACACTAAACGCTATATGGTAACAAGAATGATATGATACAAGATTCCACGTTCCCGGCGGTGATGAAATTGCTCAAGTAAAAGTAAACAAAGCCGAATGGGAGGATAAAATAAACAGTAAAATAGTAAATTTTCTCAATTATCAATTTTTCGATAGGAAGCGTGGTTTTATTATGTTAAATTGCAAAATATATGATTTATTAAAAGATTTTATAGCGAAAATGTTAAAAAACGGCGATTTTTGTGAAAGTATTAGCAAATTTAAGTGCATCTAAAGTTTCTAAGGCGTTGTTTACTTTTATTGAGAATTGTCAAAATCGGTAAGTCCCAAGTAGTGGTTTCTGGAACATGCCACATTTGTTCGCTACATCTTGATGTGATAAAAAGAGAAGCTGGCAGCACTCCGCACGGTTGCAGAAATCTCTTAAAATATGTTCGAAAAATATTTTGATATGGAAGAAACTGCTTTACACAGTTAAGGAAGAAAAGTGTCAAAACTCAATGCAATTTTTTGCAACTTCAATCTTTCGCTTTATTATACTAAAATAAATTTCTTTTAGAGTCTAATTAAAAAGTTTGCTATTTAGGGGAAACCTTGCAGATTTTTTCTTAATTTTTGTACAAAGTTTGATCTAAAACCTGAGATCTACCACATTTTTTTTAAATCTACCACAATTTTTTCCAGATTCTACCACACAGAATTTTTTAAAGTCCGATCACTGGCTGCCACCCCCTTACGATATGCTTGCTTCTCGACGTTCACGTGCGGGTTTTTCGATCCCTAGATGTGGCCGTTTTGTTTGATAACATAGCCGCCGAGATGAAAATGTGCTTCGTAGGAAAAGATGATTTTTCGAGCCAAATCGTTGTCCATTATGCCAACGTTGTTCAAGCACACAGGGATTCATTTCGTTCCGCGGAGACATTATACTGACTTTCTGTCAAGTTTTCCAGTGGGAAAGAGCAGTCACTGTCAAAGTAACATATGCTTAACCAAATTTGGAACCCCTACTGAAGGCATTCCAAGGATAGTCATATATATATATAGTAAAAATTTTCGATAAGAATCGAAATATTATGCAGTTACTAGAAATGTAGTTATCGAAAGTTTTCAAGTTTCTTATCACTGAAATTTATAGTTATCGAAATATATCGGTTGATCCATGTTTATTAGGTTATCGTAATGTATCGAGTTATTAAAATTGATCAATGTTTATTGAGACACAGCAACTTAGTTGACGAAATGTACCGATAGTTATCGAGTTATAAAAGTTGATCGGATTACCGAAATTTATCAAGTTAATGATTTTTTTTTTATATGATAATTGTTGAGCAATCAATATTAATAGAGTGATAAAAATCTTTAGACTTATCGAGTTAGCGAAATTTATCGAGTAGTCGTAATGTATTGAGTTGTTTAAAATTATCGAGTTCTCGATATTTAACGCTTTATCGAAATTTGTAGGTAGTTATCAAAATTTTTACGATTTATGCAATCCAAGTTTTTGGATATTTCAAAGTATATCGGGTAATCGAAATTTCTAGAATTACATGAATTTATCGAGCTATCACTATTAATCGATTTATAGAGTTGCCAGAGTGAAATTTGTCAATATATACGGAAATTTATGGAGTTATCGATATATAAAGAGATATGTAAATTTTTGATTGATCGAAATTAATCAAGTTCTGGAAACGCACAGTAAGTCGGAGTTGTTGGGAAAGCTTCCGCAGTCTTATCCATAAAAGTGTAATTTTCATTCAAAGTAGAAGTATGTATAAATGCTCTGTGATTTTTAAAATTGGATGAAAGATTGTCAGACAACATATTAACAGATAAGTAAGTCAAGCACGAAAATAACGTAGGTATTTTTATTACTAAAAAAATGGAAGAATTATTATGTTTTAATTTTGCACTTGTAGGTAGGGTACCTTCAACTAGCACGAAATTTTGTTCCGGTTGTATTCTGTTTTTTTTTTTTTAGTTCATCGCTTTCTATCGAAATTCTTTAACTAAAACTTGAGACATTTCCAGCCCGAGCCTAAAATGATAACTTCAACAATTTACCATTTTATCTGGTCGAAAGCCACACATAACCTGAACCTTAGCTCACTCACTCTTTCACTTTAAATTTATAAATTTTGACATAAAGTACTTCATCTCGATTGTTTTCTTAATTATTTAATGTATGCCACGCTTATTAAACCTGTTATACATATTGAAAATTAATAAAATATTGCAGTTTACCAAGGTACTAAACAATGTTGATCTGTTATTTTTAACTTAATTACTTAAGTATGTAACGCGTGGTTTGATTACAGCTGCTAAAAACGCGAGGAATTCAAATGAGGATTCCAAGTTATTCATTGGTTAGCCTGAAGTACGCACTTTGTTTTGATAATTAACATATGTTTGTAAAATATGTGCGAGTGTGCACAAATGTACATACGTATTTGTATATTTAGATGTGCTTAAAATAAAAAGGAAATCTGAGTAATTAGAGAGTCATTATTTTCACTTTTTATAACTAATTATAAGTAAGTATCAGATGAAATAAAATAAATGAAGGAAGTTTGGCACTATTTATATACAACACAACTTACTACTGGATATTACAATTTATTGATCACTTAACGCATGTACCCATGTAAGTTTAAGTAATTGTCACCATAATTTTATTGAACATCATAAATACTTTAATGAATATATTTCTGTATATGTCTATTCTAAATATCGTCATTACTTTTTATGAGACAAATTAGCTAATTAACAATCACCATTAAGTTTATTATTATGACGCAATAGCTGCTGTCTAAACAACTTTATAGGAAATTTAAGCACCTTTTTTTTGGATATGTAAAAATAAAGTAGGCTTACAGGCAAGCGCAAATAAAAGCGTTGAGCGTTGCGTTTTTCGCCGCCTAGCGCCAACTCTACATATGCCAAATATATTTTTGGGTATGAAACTCAAAATAACAGTTTCGGCGTTTTCTGCAGCCAAACTTCACTCTTGAAACGCTCTGTCAGAATCGTATTTTTCAATCGTTCAGCAACGTTACCAGAGTAGCTTTTGTTGCTGAAATGAAATTTTAACCAATCTGAGTGCCGATAAAAAGACGCAGTTTAAGTAATTACACAAATACAGTGCTTGAGCCCAAAGGAGAGTCATGGTGGAAATATTAACTTGAACTTCACTTCATATGCATATGCCCGTACAGCTAAATAACAGCATTATGAAATATGAAATAGTAGGCCTTAGCTTGTTTCTTGCAATTAGCATAGCGTAATACAACGAGTTTATTTACTCTTTTTGTTTTAATTAAGAAATCTTTAAAAATATGTGGGATGCACATTTACTTAGCAAGCTGAAGTTTTAATGCGCAAAAATGTATGTAAATACGAATTACAAATGGATAAAATGTGCAAAAAAAAAACAACCAAAAATGCACACAAAAGGATCGTGTTTTTACTCGCAGATTTTATTTTTAAATTAATACAAATAAAATACTCGAGTATGATGCATGTTTTGAAAGCAAAGGAAAAAACAAAAAAAAATTATTTACATATATATTGCATGCCAGGTGTTTTGGAATTCATTGACCTTTTGGATCGTTTTGTTTACACAAATCGCTTCGTATTTTATTAGATTTGGATGCTGAGCAACAACTCAACGGATATTGCGTAATACTCTTAAGGCGAGTGGCGTTTTAATACTTTAATACTTTTTAGTCCACTACATTTATTTAAAAGTAATTTTTAAGGAGTCTTTAAATCCGAAATAAGTTGCTTTTGTTTTATTCGTCCCCAACTTTTGAAGAATCTTAAGATTTTTGAAATGCGAGGATATTCCAATTTCCGTAGAATATGATTCTGTGCTATTAAGCGAACATTCGGTTCTTTAGCTCCAAAGACTACAAATATGCTTAAGTAGAAACCGGGCATAAATTTGCCTGC